GGTGAATGACCGTACAGCTTCCTCCAGGCAGTTGGCAGCACGTTGGTCCACTACTACAGATGTACTAATGCTGACTTTGTCAATTCGTCGACGCCTGCTGCACCGTGGATTGCGTTCAAGGCTGCCTTTATATAGGATCTCCTTCGCGGCAAACCATCGACGGCTGCGTCTGCAATGGGCTCATGAGCACAGAGCATGGCAAGCTGATTAGCACCAAGTTGTTTTGTGGGCCCACGATGGCCGCATTCGTGTTAGACGCTATGCCGGTGAACGCTGCCTTCCAGAGTGCGTTATCGAACGACATAGTCTCCTAACATCCCGAGCTATTGTTTGGGGTGCGATTTCGTATCGTGGACGATCCAATTTGGTACGAATTGAGGGTAATCTCAATAGCAACAGGTACGTCCATGAAGTGCTACAGCCCGAAGTCGTTCCCTCCCTTCAAGTTATCCTGGAGCTATCTTTCAGAAGGATAATGCACGCCCACATGTTGCAAAGACTGTTCGAGACTTCTGTTCAGCCCAACACATGCAGCTTCTTCCTTGGCCAGCTTATTCGCCGGATATGTCGCCTGTTGAGCACGTACGGATCGCACGTGATCAGCGTCCTAAAGCTTCAAAAGACGAACTTTTGCTGCGCATACAAGCAATATGGAATTCTCTTCCACAAGCAGACGTTCAAAATCTGTTTGACTCCATGCCCCGTTGTATGGCAGCACTTATTGCAGCGCGTGGTGGCTACACCAAATACTGATTTCGGACACTTATATTGTTTTTTGCCTTAAAAATTTCCTTTATTTGTACTAATACAAGTTGTTTGTGCACTAAATTTCATTTAATTCTGATGATTCCTTCATGGTGTTGTATTTTTCCACAAAGAGCAGTTTAAAAAACACGTAAATTAAAGAGATGAGGAGTAATCGCTACGGTAAAAATTAAAAATCTGTTGACCTAGTAGGGAGGGGAGCAGTGGCGTAACGTACACCCCCACCACCCCTGCACCGTGGGGGCAGGACTCTAGGGGCCCCAAAGCCTGTGCGATGCCGATTGCATAAGATCCGGCTACGGCTCAAAATCTGATTTTGCAGGGGGCCCCGAAAATTCTCCGTTACGCCACTGGAGGGGAGGGTTCTAAATTCCTTTGTATACGCCACTGCAGCTATGTGATTCATTGTAAAACTCCCTTTAATATAATTTTCTTCTGAGTGTTACTTATTTTTAAAGAATCAAAATAATTTTCTCTTTGTTTAAGAATATAAGTCCAGAATATGCTTAATGCATTCGCTCCCCCTATTGACAAGAAAGGAAAGGAAAAAGACAACATCGCTAGTGGTAATTATTCTAAGGAAAGTTTTTCTAAAATTAATTTTGCTCGCAGTCATTTCGCAATTCATTGTGAATTAAAAACGGAAAGTATATACATCAGAAATTTACACATAATTGCTTTTTTTCCCCACTCAATAAACGTAAAAAATTTTCGGATTTTTTTTTTTTGATTTTTTTTATTATTTTATTTTTTGTATTATGGCTAACATGAATGGGAACAGTAATACCACAAACTTACGCGTAAGTAGGGTTACAATTTCGCATATAAATTGTTTTAAGTTGGGGTCAGAGTCAAAAGAAAATAATAATTTAGAAAAAAAAAATGTTTAATAAAATCTTCGATAACACACACACAAATACAAAATCGCAAGCCGAAGTTATTTTGATGTAGAAGGTTTCATAAAATCTAACAAAGTAGTCTGCCGGCTCAAAAAAATTTTTTTTCTTCCCAAAATTTCCTCGTAGCATGCTAATATTTTTTTTTTTATTCCTAGTTTTGTCGAAAAAAATTCACTCAAAAATTTGTAATCCTTTTTCAATTAAACTGAGGCCTGTCAAATTGCCAACTGTCATTCGATCTTCTGATTGAACTGGGTCTACAGACTTTCTGTTTCATTAATTGTCAACTCCTGATTGTACGAATCCAGCAATTCTTGAACGTCATCACTATTGATTTCTGCATTTATTTCCCTGGCACAAGATCGACAACTTCTTCAATCAAATGACCCATTTCATCAGGCTCTGTCAATAATTCCGCCAGAGTCTTAATGATGGGGGGGAGACGAATCTACGAGATTTGATAATTGCGTAGCTTTGAATTCGTTCTCGTTAAATCGAAGTATTACGGTACTTACATCTCGATTTTAAACATACTAATCCATACAATGTACTCTAAGAATGCATTCTAGGTATGCCTAAAGTTTTTGTTACTCGTTGGACCATCGTGTACACAGACTACTTTCATTAGAGGGGTTATATTGAAAAAAAAATACTTAGATGAAAAAACTAAGAAGTTATCTCTACGCTAGAAATTAAAATTGTTAGTCTACGGGAGGAGTTTGAACCCCCAAAATGCAGAACTTAATATTGGATCCACAGCTATACACAAAATTATTCATGAAGAATTATATATGAAAAAACTAGTTTATACCATTGGGTTCCCCATAATCTAGCTGAAACACCAAAAAGAGGAGCGTGTCAGAATCAATAAAAAAACCCTCTTAAACTGCTGGATGATGTTTGCCACCGCATCATTTTTAAAATTGTAACGGGTGATGAATACCGTTTTTTGATGTTTCAACATATCAAGAAAGCAAAGTATGGGTCTTTGAATATGATCCCAAGCTGAGACAATGGCGAAAAGTCATTGAGCAATTAAAAAAGTAGTGTATGCAGTTTTCTTCAGAAGTACGGGATTGGTCAAAGCCATCAAGTTGGAAGGACAGAAGACAGTAACAGCTAAATGGTATACCACTAAATGTCTTCCAGAAATTCTCCAAGAAGTTAATGTAAGGGGACCATGACAGTGCATCTTTTCATACAGCCGGATTAACACAGTTGAGTTTCTTAAGCGAAAACAAATTAAAGTGATAGAACATTCCCCTTATATATTCTCCGGATCTAGCTATGTGTGTAGTTAACTAGTTGTATTTTAATCTAAAAAAGAACTTACGAGGACGTCGCATCCATTCAGAAGTAGAGATTGATGTAGTTTCATGAATTCTGAGAAATGAATGGTTTGAGGCATTTAATCTGTGGAAAATTCGTCAACAAAAGTGCATTGATGCTGGAGGAGATTGCTCTGAACACCCCTAAAATTTTGTAAGTATAACTTTAAAAACCTAGGTGTATCTCAAAAATTTCAGAATGACCCTCGTACAATAGAAAACATTTAATATATGTCGAAAAGGAATTTCAGTTGAAACTTTGAGTGAATCAAAAGAGCAAAGTTTCATTATAAGAATATCCATTTTTATTTTTCCGCTTATTATTGATTCATTAGATTCTGTGGTATATGCAGCAAAAAGGGCTTCCCCTTTAATATTATTTAATATAAACTTTTAAATAATCCTTTCCCATTTCATATAAATTGTTCAAAATAATAACTTAGCACCCTGCCATTACGTTTTTCAATAAAATCTCGATGCACACTTCAATCTGATTAAATATAAATTCATAATTCACAATTTGAAAAAAAAAAAGACTCACTCTCATATATATATAAATGCAACTGAAGGGTAAAAAAATGTTTTATCTTTATCTCTCAGAATATTTATTTTCGCTGAGTAATTTGAATCACGTGGAGAAAGGTGCAGAAAACTGAAATATTTCTTAGTAAAAGACGAAATATTTATAATTTTAATAGATTCCAAATACAGATAAAGTTTAATATAATGTTCATATATAAGGTTAGGATGAAAATTTTAAGAATAAAAATATTTAATAAAAAAATTGCTTGCTTTTATGGTCAAAACCACAATAATAATATATAAATATATATATATATATATATATATATAAATATAAAGTTTTTTTTTTTCAGGTATAGAAGTTTAAGTTGGCATTACTTTCCAAGATGGCTACCGACTTAACAGCTGTCAAGTGATTTATTTTCAGTTTGGTTTGGCAATTCATCAAAACGATCATCAAGCAAGGCGTAGACTCGTCGAATGGGCCCAAAACGAGATTGCCGTTTCCCGATTTTCATAAGCGAATTTTGTTTAGCGATGAAGCGCACTTCTGGTTTCATGGCTACGTCAACAAACAAAACTGCCACATTTGGAGTGAAGCTAATCCACAAGTGTATGTCGAAACACCGTTACATCCAGAAAAACTGACTGTTTGGTGCGCTTTATGGGCAGGTGGAATCCTTCTTCAAAAACGATGAAGACCACAACGTTACAGTCAATGGGGATCGGTATAGAGCCATGATTACTAACTTTTTCATTCCTGAATTGAACAATCATGATGTCCAGGAGCTGTGGTTCCAACAAGACGGCGCAACATGTCACACAGCTCGTGCCACAATCGATTTATTGAAAGACACGTTTGGCGACCGCCTAATTTCACGTTTTGGACCTGTGAATTGGCCTCCAAGATCTTGTGATTTAACACCGCTAGACTATTTTCTGTGGGGCTATGTAAAGTCATTGGTCTATGCGGATAAGCCACAAACGCTTGACCATTTGGAAGACAACATTCGCCGTGTTATTGCCGATATACGGCCACAAATGTTGGAAAAAGTCATCGAAAATTGGACTACATCCGAGCCAGCAGTGGCAGTCATATGCCAGAAATCATATTTAAAATGTAATGCCATAAGATTATCTTTCGAATAAAAAAAAATTCATGTCAATCGAATAATACATCGTTGTTTTATTGCAATTTAAAGTTCTATACCTCTGAAAAAAACACCCTTTATAAAGACAATTCCTACTTAGGTCAGCAAAGAAATTTTTTTATTTTAGTTACTTTTTATTAAATTATTACAATTAATATAAATATGTATGACAGAATGACAATATTAAGGGGCAAAATAGAAAGCGATTTTCCATTTTCCTTTCTATATATGGAGTTGGATTTTATTTTTGTTTGTAACTATTTATTTATTCATTCATTAAATTTAATCATTCCAATTAGTATAGCAAAAAGAAAACACATTCTCAGAAATTGGGCCATCCCAGGTGGGATGGCCCCACGACCTTTGGATTAGATGTCCAACGCACTATCCATTGCGCTACAAGAACACAAGGAGCGACTTTCCTTTTTATTTTTAGTGTTGGACTATTAATTTTGTTACTATTTCTTCATTAATTACATTTAATTAATGAATTAATATTTGAAAAAGCTATTAACATCAAGTGTCATCCACTGCAAGTTTAAAAAAATGTATTGGAACATGAGTGGATGAATAAAAAGTATTTTATTAACGATTGAAAATTCGAACAAGACGTATATATTTAGGGAGAGTGTGAACTAATAGTAGGAATTGTGAAAAAAAAAACAGTCTTCAGAGATGTATTCAAGTAATGACAATATAGATTAATGCTCAGAGTCTGCCATTTTCAAAATTTATAGTAGTGTTTGGATGCTACATTAATTAAACTACAATATATAAGCCAATTAAACTACAGTACCGAAGCATTTGAGACCCGCATTCAAATGTGAGCATCGTTACAAAAATTCATTTCTGTACTCTAGTATCAAATGCTGAGCAAACATTCATTTTCAGTATTGAGTGACAAACTACTTAAGATCATCTGGTAACAACTGAATTTTGTTGCTGTGCTCTGGCTGTTGAAGAAAGTTTCGCTGTGTAATACTTAATTTCAATGATGTATTATAGCTAAAATGTTTGCTAAGAATACACAGCAAAATACCCTGTATTAAAAACAAATAAATATTTAACTCTGGGTTAAATTTCCTATTTTTATTACTACTTTATTTTTACTCATAAACGTTCAATTGTTTTCGACATTGCTTATTTTTAACAAATTTAAACAAGTCCACTTAACTTTACCCTGTATTTTAACATAGCAATCAATCTAATTCATTATATAGACCACAGAATAATAAATTAAATGCCAAATTGAAAGATCTCTGATTGAAAATTTGGAAACTATTTTTCGATTCAACATAAAATAAGCACAATCTGCTGACTAGTAAAACATATTTCATTGTTCTTTACAAAGTTTTGCTAGAACCGTTATAGCCATCCACAAGAAAGTATACTTCATTCATGAAAAACATCAAGATGAAATTTTCTTTGGTATATTTTAAAAATTAAATTTATTTTTGAAAAACAGGCTTAACATAAATAAGAATATAAAGGGGGGAGAAAGTGACTGATTAACTTATTGATAACTAAAACAATGACTCTCTTGGTAGCTATATATATATATATATATATATATAAATGATAGCTAATTTACTTATGTAGTACTCAAAAATAGAATTAAATTCCTGTTCTCTTGCATTTCTGCTACATTTCTAATCCACTTGTCATAAAATACAGGAAAAGATACAAATTTAAAAGGTCAAACACAACTGAACAAATTAGAAATGAAAAGAAAAAAGTCATATAAAGCTAGTACATAAATGTTCCTATAAAAATTTTAATAATAATTTTAAAAAAAGCTCTAGGCCCCAAATAATCAGGTGTTTAGGGACTAGGCGAAGAATCACATCAGCAATTATGGACTATTAGCAAGCAGAACTGGAGTCGGCAGTAAATTTCATCTTGTACATTGGCATAAAAAGTGTATATCCTGCCCTGGTGATGTTTAGAATATGGTTTTCAGAAGACAAAGTACTGCCCTTCCAAATATTTTTAAGCTTTGTTTTCACCAGCAAATCCACAGATTCTATCAGTACTACATCTTTAAAATTTACACAGATTTAGTTCAGCTAGACCTAGCATTTATTTATGTACATATTGCTTAGGAAACATGCTGTACATTATATAAAAAAAATACTGTACTAATATTTATAGTGTATGCTCATAATATCAAATTATCTTGATTCTCAAGCCTTATTGGCTGCAAGAACATTCCATTGCATTTCATTCGATGGAAGAAATGTTTTTTGGCATTTCTTTTGTCTTCCCAGAAATCCTCTCTGATGAATTGATTGATTGATTGAATATTAACGTCGCACTGTTCAGCTACATGAGGGCTTTTTTGACGACGGACCACGTAATTTTGAGCCATGGTCAAGTGATGTGAATGACACCTGAGCTGGCACCCCCTCTCCTAACTACCACTTCACACCAACGGGAGGACGTTTCAACTCTCGACAGATTTGCGTGCATCGCTGCCCACACGGCGGGTCTTTAGCGGTACTGAGCTCGAGCTGATGCGATACCTATACCACTTGGCTACCGCGGCCACCCCTCTCTGATGAAGTTTGAGCCATGGTCAAGTGATGTGGATGACACCTGAGCTGGCACCCCCTCTCCTAACTACCACTTCACACCAACGGGAGGGACGTTTCAACTCTCGACAGATTTAACGTGCATCGCTGCCCTACACGGCGGGTCTTTAGCGGTACTGAGCTCGAGCTGATGCGATACCTATACCACTTGGCTACGCGGCCACCCTCTCTGATGAAGTTTGAGCCATGGTCAAGTGATGTGAATGACACCTGAGCTGGCACCCCCTCTCCTAACTACCACTTCACACCAACGGGAGGACGTTTCAACTCTCGACAGATTTAACGTGCATCGCTGCCCTACACGGCGGGTCTTTAGCGGTACTGAGCTCGAGCTGATGCGATACCTATACCACTTGGCTACCGCGGCCACCCTCTCTGATGAAGTTTGAGCCATGTCAAAGTGATGTGGATGACACCTGAGCTGGCACCCCCTCTCCTAACTACCACTTCACACCAACGGGGGCGTTTCAACTCTCGACAGATTTAACGTGCATCGCTGCCCTGACACGGCGGGTCTTTAGCGGTACCTGAGCTCGAGCTGATGCGATACCTATACCACTTGGCTACCGCGGCCACCCTCTCTGATGAAGTTTGAGCCATGGTCAAGTGATGTGGATGACACCTGAGCTGGCACCCCCTCTCCTAACTACCACTTCACACCAACGGGAGGACGTTTCAACTCTCGACAGATTTAACGTGCATCGCTGCCCTACACGGCGGGTCTTTAGCGGTACTGAGCTCGAGCTGATGCGACCCTCTCTGATGAAGTTTGACCATGGTAGTGATGTGGATGACACCTGAGCTGGCACCCCCTCTCTCTAACTACCACCTCTCGTTTGATGAAGCGGGAATATATACCTATAACTGGACGCGGCCACCCTCTCTGATATATAGTATTACGCTGTTGAAATAAAAATTTATTTTTGATAGCCATGCTTCATGACTTTGCTACTCAAAATGCCAAATATTACATCCCTTTTCAAGCTACTTAGTTCAGTAATAGCATGATTTTACCCATAAAATTTTATTCTGCTTAAGGCATATAACAAATATTGGCTTAAGCAGAAGCAATTTGTTCACAAACGTACTTATCTCATGAACTTAATTTATAAAAAAAACAAACTCAAGCAAAAAGTTCCACGTGCAGTGTAATGGATGCCAATGCATATTAAATATGTTGAGACTCAATGTCCTCTCATTGGTGTGGTAGTTAGAAGAGGGGGGACCAGCTCAGATGTCATTGCAAATAGAACCCATTACATTGCTCATTGCCAAAAGCCTCATGTTGCTTTCTGGTGGGACATTAATAAAACTCTCACTCACACAAGAAAAGTTTCAAATGTGTGTAGCCATTTAATCACCCAATATTTACATTTAATAATTTTCTCACATTTCACTTGCTTTTCATGTTAAGTAAGTTAAAAAAGAGATTCATTTAAATGTTATTTTTATACTATCCATTGAAAGTTAAAAATGAGTTATATCACCATTATAACTAATCATCATTGGATTGGAAAATCTATTTCTTGGCTTTTTAAAAAAAATCGAAATAACTTTTGAAGTTAAATACAGTTGGACCTCTATATAACAAAGTCACTAAATCCCGGAAAAAAGTTCATTATATGGAAAATTTGTTATACAAATGTACATCTTTTAACATACTTTAAAACCACATAAGACAAATTTTAAATTCATAAACACTATATATTAAAAAAAGTAACTACATTCCCACCTTTTTTTTAAAATTAATATATGTTTATTTTATATATCTTACTCACAAAAAAAAAAGAAAGGAAAAATGCAAGGAAAACAAGAAAAAAGAATGTTGGAGAATTCACTGTACTTTCAATATTAAGAAAATAATTTTATACTAAAATTAATGAATTTTAAGGACATTTTATAACTTAAAGCATTTAAAATAAGAACACAGGGAAAGAGGATATCGAAAATACTTTTAGTGAATTGGGCAATGGGGGTTAAAAGTTGCACTTCTTGGATGAAACATCTAGAACTCTATTGCTCTCGGCGAGTTAGGATCTAATAAAACCAGTTCAAGATTTATGACCAACATAAAATGTGTTAAAGATAGAATAACTTGAAGTTTTTTCAGAAATAGTTTTAAAAAAAAGGGGGAGAACAAAAATTGAATCACACAAGAAAAAGTTCGTTATATAGAAAATGCACTTCGCTATAGAGAGGTTATTTAACGAAGAAAATCGTAAAATGTTCAACGTTCCAGGAAAAAGTTTGCTATATAGAAAAATTCGCAATTTAGAGGTTCATTATATAGAGGTTCGACTGTAGTTCAAATGATTAATTGCCATACCCTAGGATTACTAAATAATATGAAAATGATACACTTTTTGTAGAATATTGGACAAATTTATGTTTATGGGCTAAAACCTTATTGAGGTTAACTCAATAAGGCTTTAGCTTTATGTATAATAAGGTTTTAAAAAAGTTCACATTATTGATAGAAAAATTGTCTTTGTTCTGAATGAGCACTATATGATTGTTGAAAGATAAACTGAGCACAACATAACGTTTATGAACAAGATTTTATTCTTGATTCATGCACACAACATCACAAGGTAAGAAGAGAGCAGCAAGCATTCCAATATATCTCAGAACAAACACATTATAATTGTACAAGTATCTCATTTGCTGAAAAATAGCTGCTCATACAGATGGTAAGGCTCTGACATCCATTTAATGTACTGTTTTCCTTTTTTTTTTTACATTGTATATATACATATATAATTATGCTTTCATGCAACTAAGAAGGCTAGAAATTTGCGCAGCACATTTCATGGAG